GTTTTCCTTTTTTATTTTTTGTGTTTTTTTTTTTTTTTTTATTATTACTTTCATTATTTACATTTTTTTAGTTCACATTTTTAATATTCTTTTAAAAAATAGTAAATAATGAAATATGGTTTAGAAAAATGAAAGGATTTAGAAATAAAAAAAAAAAAATAAATCAAAATAATTGAATTAATAAAATAATAATAATAATAAAAATAATAAGTAAATGTATAAATACGTATGAAAAATAGTAATATTAATATTTAATAATATGATAGATATAAATGACTTAATAAAAGAAATAATTTACAGGTCAGCTGATGAATGTAATTTTAACAATGAAGAACTTAATTTTCATAGTATTTTGAAATTTTTTTATGATATTACTAACAAATATAAGATAAATAAAAAGTTATCGGATGAGATTCTTAATAAATTATTGATAATATGCAAAAATATAATTGATGATAAAATTAATTGTAAATTTGAGAATGATGATTTGAATGAAAATATAAGAGAAATTAATATAAATAATTCTAGTGATTCTATTATAAAAGAAAAACTGTCTAATTATAAGAACTATGATTATATACCAACATTTCATATAGAAAAAAATGACAAAAGTAAATATGATGGTTCACTAAAAAATACTTTGCTTCGAAAAAAAGATAAAGAGGATTTAAGTATATATCACTCTAGTAAAACTAGTAATATAAGTATTTTTTGTTTTGATAAAAAGGAAGAAAATGTAAAATCTTGTAAAAAATTATATGATGACAATAATTATACCAAATTAATTGTGAGCGAAAAATCATTTCTTCACAAAAATAATAAAAACTTATTAAAAATATTTTTAAATGGCGATATAATTAGTAATGTGTATAATAAAATAATAAAACATAACAAATATAATAATGATAAAACTCAAAAAAAAAATAAAATGAAATTATATAATGAAAGCAATGTATTCTATACCTATTATACATTAAAAAAATTTATGTGTAAGTGGTTAAATTATTATAATAAAGAGAAGATATTAAAAAAAAATTTTTTAAAATTCTCTAAAATATATCGTAAGAATTTATTATGTAAGTATTATGATTTATGGTGTTATTATAATGAAAAAAATATATATTTGAAAAATGTACATGAAAAATTGCTTATTAAAAAAAAAAAAAGTATATTAGAAATTTTTTTTAATAAATGGATAAACAAATATAAAAAAAAAAAAAAAAAACATTTTATTTATTTTGTTCATATATTTAACGAATGGAAATATTATGCTCAGAAAAGGAAAAAATTAAAATTAATTAAAAGTAAAATAGAACAAAGGAGAAAAAAATGCTTTTTAATGATATGGAAAAATAAATATAGTAAAAAGAAAAAAAAAAAAAATAAACATAATGAAATAAAAAATGTTTACAATAAAAATTTATTAATAAAATGTTATGTTCATTTAATTTTATATTATAAAAAGAAAAAAATAGAACACAACAATTATAATATTATTCATAATAAACTGAAGAAAAAATTATATCATAAATATTTTTATTTATTTCTTGAAGTGTATCAGGAAGAAATATATTTTAAAGAATATTATGATATGTATTTAGATAGAATTAGAATATATTTTCTAAAAAAGTTTTTTTATATTATAAATGATTATACTTTAAAATGTAAGAATTTAAAAATGTGCTTTGATATTTTAGATAAGAAAGAAAAGAAAAATATTTTAGGCAATTATTTTGTAAGATGGAAGAATATATATAACAAAAAGGTTAAAACTAATGAGTTGTTAAAAAAGTATATTGAAAAAAAAGAAATTTGTGTTTTAAAAAAATATTTTTTTTATTTGAAAAAATACAAAAACAAAACAACTAACTTAAAAAAAAAATTTTTATATTTATATGAAAGAAAAAATAAATTAGAAATACAGAAAATTTTTAAAAGTTGGAAAAATTATTATTCATTAAATTCTACGAAATATATATTTTTATATAATAAGTATAAATATAAACTTTTAATATATTCCTTTCATTTTTTACGTAATTATAAAAATTATAAGATAAAAAGAAAAGAACAAATATTACATATGAATAGATTTTTTCATAATAGATTAAAAAAAAAAGTTTTAATTCATTGGAAATTTTATATATCTAAATACAGAAAAAATATTCTTAATTATTATAACTTTAATGATGAGAGTAATTTATTTGTATTTTTTATTTTGAAGTTATTGATAAAATATCAAATAATTTGTAAAAAAGGAAATTGTAGAACATTTTTTGATTTTGTAAATTTTTCGAATATTAATATAAATATTAATAGTTTGATTTATATACATAAAAAATATTTTACAAAAAAGAATATATCACAAAATACACACATTTTTTATGAAAATATAATGTATGTTTATAAATCGTTAAATATAATTTTTTCTTTTATTCCTGTTCTCTTTGTAGTTAACATTAATAAATTAAAATTTAATTTGCCATATATATCATTTTCAATTAAAATGGTTAGCTAAAAAAAAATATATAAGTAATTATTCATTAAAAGTATAAATTTATAATCATAAATATAAATATATATATATATATATATATATATATATATATATATGATAAAAATAAATATAATTTATAATTTTTTTTTTCATATCTAATAGGTTATATATAAACGTGTATTTGATACATGGTTATCTGAAAGTAGAAGTTTAAAAAATTTCAAAAATGAAATGAAAATGAAACTTTTAAAAATGTATTTTATTAATTTTTATTTGTTAATTCAAAAGAAAAAAAAATTGAAAAAAATTAAATGTGATTATGATTTTAGCAAAACAATAATTCTGAAAAGAAAAACTTTTTCTACTTGGATGTTTTTGCGTATAAAATATTTTAGTTTTAGAAAAAAATTTCAAATATATGATCGTAATAATAAGCATAAAAAAATGAAAAAAATATTCTTAAACTGGAAAGAACAATCTAAACAAAATAGTTTAAAAAAAAAGAGAATTGTTCAATTTTTTAAAAATTTATTAATGAAAAGGAAGAAAAAATGTTTTGATATTTTGTATGATAATGTTAATAAGAGTAAAGAAAAAAAAATAAAAAATAAAATATCTAATTTGTATTGTATGAAGAAATATAAGAAAAAAGCATTTAAAGCTTTATGTTTATATACAAAAAATATATTATATTTCAAAATATTAGACAAAATATCAGAGAATTATTTGAAAGGAATATGCATAATTAAATGGAGGAATATGACGAAACATTTTTTAAGGAAGAAAGAGGAATTACAAAATCGTATTAATTATTATAATTTAAAAATTCAAAGAAAATTTTTTAATATTTTATTAATTTATGTTCATTCAAATCAATTAAAAAAAAAAAAGGTAACATTTTTTTTTTTTTTTAAATAAATATCATTTATTCTTTATTTTTTAGTGATGTTATAGATTTTTTTGAAATATATTATTATTTGTTATTTTGTCTAATTAAATCATTAAAAAAAAATTTTATTTTCATTTTATTAATATTTTTTTTTTTATTTTTAGTTTTTACAGTATAAAAAAATTCAAAGTAGAATATGGATGTATAAATATTTTAATGAATGGAAAAAATACATAAAAATAAGGAAAAATAAAAATTATTTTCACAGAAATATTGAAATTCTTTTTAATAGGTACAGAGAAAATATAACATTCATTTTTTTTTTTTTTTTTTAATAAATTTAGAATAGGATATTTTGATTTTAAAGTATATATGTTAAATAAATATTTTTTTTTATTAT